AAGCCAAATTTGTCATTAAAATGTCATTAATTTGAATGATGCCCTTAAAAACGATTTAACAGAGTAATGTTGGTTCCACTGAAAATGTGATCAGAACAATATTCATAACTCAATTATAATGCTCTGATGACAACTGAGTTTAGGAGAGTATGATGACAAACAAAAAGACTGTTTGTGATGTATTTGTTTTTATCAGCTTTGCATTTAACATGACATAACTGAGCAAATGACAGTTAACTGCTGTCATAAACATGAATAAAATCTCATTCACATTTATGACGTGTCATGTCATAATTATAAAGGCTTCATGACAGTCTCATGAACATCCAAGTAAAGTGTTACCAAAACAGTAGTAAGTGAACAAGCCCTTGCATTGGACTCCACCACAGGACTAATCATAAAACTGCTCTGTTGTGATCTTGATTCACTCATTTTCCAGCCTTTTTCTCATTTAATGTAGTGTTGTTTTTCGACATAACTTTTTTACCAAAGTTTTTCAGTCATGATTTGAACATCTGAGACTAAGTTTAGAAATCCTAAAAAAATCCTATAATCCTAGGCTAAAATCTGTGGTCTTTGATTGCTGGTTTGTCCTAGTCATCAATAGCCAATTAATTGCTGTTTTGATAAAATTTTGTGACTGAGACCTAAAGTCCCGTTCACACTGTGCTATTTTAATAACTTTAAGTGATCGTAGCTTGCCTCTCCTTGAACAGCCATCTTAACATGGTGGAGGGGTTTGAGTCCCTGATTGAACCTAGGAGCTATGCTATGCGGATCTTCCAAGGCAAAACGTTCCTAGAGACAGGTCTAAGTGGCTAAGGTCACCAGGTGACTAAGTACAATAAAAAAATAAAATAAAAACTTATAAGTACAACATAATCATAGACTGTGACGTCACTCAGTATGGCAAAACCAGGGCCTCATTCTGTAGCCAGGCCTGAGGTTGGGGTTCGCATACAAGTGGCTGGTGGCTTAGTTATTCCTCATGGTCCTTGGCTTGGCTGAGCCTAAAGGAACAATGTGGGACCATCCTCATGTAGACCCACCACCTGCTGAAAAAAATTGCTGTAAGGGGGCAGTGCAATGTGGATTGGGCAGATTAACCAGGACCACAAACACAATCACACAGAAGAGACACCGAATGTTAGTTCACCAGGAGGAAAGGAGCCTAAGTTTGTTGGATGACGGTTGCCTCTCTGCTCCTACATGCTGGGGAAAGATAGTTTGTGTAGTTTGTGCTTACAAGCTGAACAGCTGTGCAAAATACCCAACCTTCTTGGAGTCCCTGGAAGGGGTACTAGAAGTTGCTCTAACCGAGGACTCATTATACAAGGGTCGTCAACACCCATGTGGGCAAAGTATTCTGTTATTGAATTTCTGTGCTAGTCACAGTTTGTCCATGTCCAAGCATAAGAGTATAAGAGTTTCCATTAGTGCACATAGCACCAGCACACCTTGGCTGGAGCTCAATGATTAATTTTGTGTTCATTTCATCAGATCTCCGACCGTTTGTCTTGGACACTTGAGTAAAGAGAGGGGCAGAACTGTCAACTGATCACCACCTGGTGGTCAATTGTATCTGCTGGTAGAGGAGAAGGCCGGACAAGCCTGGCAGGCCCAAACATATTGTGAGTGTCTGCTGGAAACGTCTGGCTGAATGAGATGTCAGAGGGATTTTAAGTTTTCAACCAATGAAAGCCAGAGTGGTCCCAGTTTGCCACAGCCATATCACACTGCAGCACAAGATTGGTTGTTCATGTTGGTTGTTCACTGAAGTTAAGCAGGGCTGAGTCTAGTTGGTATTTATAATAATAATAATAATTCCTTACATTTATATAGCGCTTTTCTGGGCACTCAAAGCGCTTTACATAGTGGGGGGGATCTCCTCATCCACCACCAGTGTGCAGCATCCACCATATTTGAATGGAAGACCACATGGAAACACTAGGTTGCTGTTGGAAGTGGTGTTAACGGGGCCAGCAAGGGGTGCTCAACCTACGGTCTGTGTGGGTCCTAACACCCCAGTTATAGGGACTCTATACTGTTAGTGAGCATCGTCTTTCAGATGAGACGTTAAACCAAGGACTGGACTCTCTGTAGTCGTTAAAAATACCATGGCAACTCTTGTAAAGAGTAGAGGTGTAATCCCAGTGTCCTGGCCAAATTCCCTCCCTCGATCCTAACCTATCATCGCCTGTGACTTGGGAGCTCTTTAAACAATAAAGTTATTTGTCTCTTTAAATGTATTCATATTATTTTTATATTCATTCATTCATTTTCTTCTTCATTATCTTGCTGTTACAAATTTGTCCGGTAGCTCAACATGTATATCGACAGATTTATGACGCATAGCTGAGTTGATTGAGACAACACAGATCGAGTCCAGTGACAACAATTAAAACCAAAAGCCAAAAAGTAAAATAAACAAGTAAATAACAGGGTAAGGATGTGGTAAAATCTGAAAACGTGGTAAAAATCAGGCTGCTGTAAGGGCTTTTCTTTTACTGGATTGCTTTTGAAAACACTATTGGTTGGGTTTAGAGAAGGGGATCGGTCTGTTGGATGGTCGATCAGTCAGTCAGTCGACAGCGGTCTCTGGTGGACTTACGCGAGAAGAGCAGGCATGAATGGCACTCTTGAGAGAAATTTGAGATCTGAAAATGTGTACACAACGGCCTCTAGTGGATTCACGAAAACATAAACTGCAAAAAAAACATAGCTCCTAGGATGTATTTTGCTCTCTCCAGAAATGTATATAAGACATGCACATCAGTCTGAGCCTGAGTTGTGAAAAAATGTCAGTATACCTATGATTTTGAAGCTTGTTAAACATCCCTTGATTGTTTCTAATAAATGAGATTTAATCAAAGGGATCTAATAGTCTTTTGAATTTCAGATGTTAATATTCAGGTGAAGCGACGCAGTGGTGCAGTAGGTAGTGCTGTCGCCCCACAGCAAGAAGGTCGCTGGTTTAAGCCTTGGCTGGGTCAGTTGGCCTTTCTAAGTGGAGTTTGCATGTTCTAACTGCGTTCGCTTGGGTTTCCTCCAGGTACTCCAGTTTCCCCACAAGTCCAAAGACGTGGTACAGATGAATTGGGTAAGCTAAATTGTCCGTAGTGTATGAGTTTGAATGAGTGTGGCATCCGCTGCATATGCTGGATAAGTTGTCGGTTCATTCCGCTGTGGCGAACCCAGATTAATAAGGGGACTAAGCCAAAATGAATGAATATTCAGGTGTAATAGATAACATTTTCACAGACATTCAGTAAAATCTCAAATGTCACATATGCCACAATTGCATATGTGAATCAGTCCACCATCAAAATGCAAACATAAATTCAGACTTCCCATTTAATTCTTCCTAATAGACAGATTTTTTGTATACCAATTAGGTTCCTGGTGCTATATTTCTGATGCATGTGATAATTGTCTATTTTTATTTCTTATAGAATTTTCGGAGAAGACAAAGTTGACACTTAAAACATAAGTGAGAACTGTAGAACTATAAAGAAAATAATAAAGTGTTCCTTTGAGAATCCAACTGCTGGAAACTGATCTATTAACTATGCACAAAAAATGAAGAGGAAGGGTGGGGGCACAGAGGAACTGGTGTCGAGGGGGGGTTTAGCAAGATGTTAAATTGCAATGTGGTTGAAAGTGGATATGTATGCAAACATACCTTTGAGAGATCATCTTCACTCCTTCTCTTTTTCTTGATCCTGCTTTTTACTTTGAGCAGAACAGCTGTGTGTGTATGCCCTGGCACCTTTATACGACCCACTTTTCTCATGATGCAGAATTCAGACCAGAAGTTGAGTTGTTAAAATGAAGTTCTTCTCACTCATAAAACCATTTAGCTCTCAGTTGCAACTCAACCTGGATCACTTTCATGTCCTGTTTACACATTTTAAAACCCTCGTCCTGCTTATCTGAAGTTTTTCCAGATGTATGCAACTGTTAATTTTGTGGTTCTTTATATAACACACACTCACAAACATATATATGACTTCTTTATGAGAACATTTAGCGCTACTATGAAATGTTATGTCCAATGATTGATGTCTGTGTAATCAGGTTGACATTTAACCTTTTCAAGCTTTAAAGGTTGAATCTACTAAAAGCTATAATAGCGACCGCCCCTCTCAGGCAACATAGCCGATTAAATTGGTCGAAAACCAAATTGATAAAATACCACATGCATGTATATGCAATTAAAGCTGCTCGCAGACAAATTCTGTTCTGAAAACAGCAGCGCTTCCATGTTCACACAGACCGAGTGGCTAAACTGAGATGAAGTGCTGATTTAGCTCCAGTCAGATTTAAGCAGAGATGTTTAGAAGAGTCGAGTTCCCCCCCACTTTCGCTCCACAGTTACAGAAGATGACAACCTGATCCTCATCGGCCGCAGCTCTTGCCATGTATGGCTTGAAGGAGACTAAGACTATGCCAACCTAGGAATCAAATGCTATTCAAAAGGGGACAGGGTCATTACAGATGGCCACTGCTGAAGACTGAGAATAGAAACCAAAAAGGACATTGCAAAAGCTTATTATTGATGAATTAGTACATTTAAGCCATTTTGAAAAACTTTTAAATAAAAAAGTTACAAAAAGAAGTACAATTTTATAAAAGAGTTACAATTTTTAACTTTGATATAGTGATATATAAAAATGATATAGTAAATATGACCTTGGTCATTTGACCCAGTGTGTTACTCCGATTGCAAAAGACCTTGGCTTATGGGTTAAACTCTGGCCTAAATAGATTAATGATGAAGTCAAATCATGTTTTTAAATGTTTGTCATTTGGCTAAAGTGAAATAATTTTTATCAACAAGAAATTTTGAAATAGCTATTCACTCTAGTTCCTTTCTTGTTTGGACCATCTTGTACGGTGGCCGAGAGAGCTTAACTAAATGCCCGCAAATTAAAAAAGAACTAAGAAAAGAAAAACATCAGTTTAATAGCAGATGTGCTGCAAATCCTCACAACACAAACCTATTTTTAAAAAACATGCTGCATTTTCACACAACGTAAACAATTAATAAAACGTGCTGCATTTTCTCATAACACAACGGAAATGTTTTAAGAAGACCCTAAAACTTGACGAACAAAGCTATTTAGGTTATGGTTATTTAGGCTAATAAATACTATTCATTCATTCATTCATTTTCTTGTCGGCTTAGTCCCTTTATTAATCCGGGGTCGCCACAGCGGAATGAACCGCCAACTTATCCAGCAAGTTTATACGCAGCTGATGCCCTTCCAGCCGCAACCCATCTCTGGGAAACATCCACACACACATTCACACACACACTCATACACTACGGACAATTTAGCCTACCCAATTCACCTGTACCGCATGTTTTTGGATTGTGGGGGAAACCGGAGCACCCGGAGGAAACCCTCGCGAAGGCAGGGAGAACATGCATACTTCACACATAAACGGCAACTGAGCCGAGGTTCGAACCAGCGTAATAAATACTAAAGACGCACAAATCTGGATGTTAAAATAAATAAATAAAAACTCATATTTCAAAGATCACCAACAACTTCATTGTTTAATAGTCATGGTACAGCAGTGCCTGTCACATTTTTGGGTCCCCTTGAAACATTTCTGTTGTGTTCCGTTCTTTTTGTGTTGAGAGAAAATGAAGCATGTTTTTGTGAATTGTTTGCACTGTGGGAAAATGCAGCACTTTTTTTTTTCAAATGTGTTTGCATTGTGAGGATTTGCAGCACGTGTGCTGTCAAATGGATGAAGATCTCTTCTTAATTAGCTGGCGTTTTCTAATCTTGTTTTTCTTAACATGAGATTACAAGATTTTTTGTGGCATTTGCAAGACATAAATACTGGTAGAGGGCAGCATGGTGGCTCAGTGGGTAGCACTGTCGCCTCACAGCAAGAAGGTCACTGGTTCGAGTCATGGCCAGTTTCTGTGTGGAGTTTGCATTGTCTCCCTGTGTTCCCATGAGTTTCCTTTGGGTGCTCCGGTTTCCACCACAATCCAGAGATGCTATAGGTGAACTGAATAGGCTAAATTGGCCGTAGTGTTTTAGTATGAGTGTGTATGGGTGTTTCTCAGTACTGGGTTGTGGCTGGAAGGGCATCCGCTGAGTAAAACAGATGCTGGAATAGTTGGCGCTGTTGGCCGGTGTGGCGATCTCTAAAATAATAACTTAGCCGAAGAAAAATAAATGAACGAATGAAATATTGGTAGAAAACTGGAAATGTGTAATGATAACAACAGAATCTGTCCAATGGAAAACCCAAAGAAATAATCAAGATACAATGTTGCAAAGATAAACTCTACTTTGTGTCTGGACTTTCAACAGGGAAAGTCTTTCAACAGTCTACTTTGAAAAAGCGCAGTATAAATAAAAAGAAATTAATTCAATTCAATTAAAAAACAATAGTTTTATGCATTTGGAATAACATAAAGGGTGAGCAAATGATGATAGATGTTCTATTTTGTGGTAAACTAATCCCTTTAATAAAGTTTTGGCATATTATTATTATGTGACAAAAGTTTCAAGTTGACTATAGTACAATGACAAATCACGATCCTCTAATTTACCCCTTTTTGAATGCTACAGTATGTAACAGTATTTACCAAAGAAATACAATACATTTTATATATCAGTCATTCATTGGCAACCAAAAATATATATACAATTATAAAAAAACATATTTTATAATTATAATTTATTTATAACTTTCAATCAGTTCAAAATCTTAACTGACAATGTAAGTGTTGAATCAATATAAAAAAATCCGATACAACAGTTTGAACACGTCGAAAAGCTGAAGCTCATAAAATCCATGTTTTTGTACATGTATTATTGGCAAAATGTTCATCTGGAAAATGTGGGACGTTTTGAAGCAATACCTGAAACAGTCAAAATAAATATAAAAATCATGTCAGTGAGAATGCACTGGTGAATTGAACAAGAAACAGTAAATGTTCTAAAATATATATTTGTTTTTTTAAATACATGCTTGCTGTTCTTTGGAATATTACATATATCTTAGTATCCTTAAAGTATTTTGTGAATCATTGACATTGTGTCTCCATTAATAATGAAGTTCTGTAACTGTATATTTATATGTCACTGAGGATCATAAAAATGTTACAGCCAAACCAACACCGTAAACACTGTTACTAAGAGGGAACCCGAGAAACATGAGCTAGAATTTGACACGGCAAAGAGGGGGACAGTCATTGGAGAGTTGAAACTACACCTTTGGAAGGATAAGGAGGTGGACGAGTCTGCTTCACAAGATCACTCTGGGACAGTGCCTCCACTATCCAGGAGAGGGCAGTAGAGCAGTACTCCACCTGAGATACAGGCCAACAGAAAAATCAGTCAAACACCTGAGGTCCCATTTAAAGCACAGGTTCATTAATAACATTGATCAGCTGACAGCTTGGCAGATACTCAGTGCGGATCTGCATTCTACAGGAGGGTTTAGATGAGGGGGGATAGAGAGAATGACGGATGGTCCTCGGTCTGCGCTGAGCAAGCAAATGCAACAGCTGCAGCTAAAATAAGGCAAGGCCCGAAGTCTTGCACCCACAGATGCATATGTGTGCTGTATGAGAGACACTGATGGGATTCAGAAACATGTGTTGGAGTGTTCGCTAGTCGCAGGTAGACAGGTGTGTTTAACCACCACTTACCTCAGACTCCAGCTTTCTCAACCTGCGATCGTGATCACGAATCTCCACCATCTGCTTCAAGACGCTGTCCACCCTACGCACACATTTGGACACAAATACACACATGGTGTCATTTAAGACGCTGGTGCCTGATTCAGCAAGAGCTGACAGTCTCCAAGTCCCCCTTCTTGACACTCACAGAAACAAGAGCTGCTACTGTGAGGTTACTAAATGCCCCCTGGGTGTGTATTACATACAGATCTATTTGACATGTTCCCCACTCACTCATCTTTTCTAAAACGTACTTTTGATGTCAGATAGTTTGGCAGTTGTTAGTTATGAGATTACATTGAACATTAATAGGAGACACTGACTTTGTGGAGGTGCGTTTGAGTCGCTCCGTGTCGCTCTCTCTTTTCTTCTTGCTCTCCGTGGACAGCAGGTTCTCTTTCAGTGACAATTCCCATGTGTTCAACAAGCTCGTCTCTTTGCTTGTCAGGTCCAACACTAAAGAAAGATATGCATCTCAGGGTTAACGGTCCCATAAAATTAAAATAATGTTTTTTTTAGATATTAGTATTAGTATTGTTTGTTTTTAAGATACCTATAAGTGTCCACCAAAACAGTGACAAAATTCACGTTTAGAAGTTATGAAACTTATATAAACATGTAAAGCTTTAGTTTGTCACTTCCACTTAAATGGATCAATGAATCCAATGGATCAAAATGACCTCATACTTCAGCTTCTCATAAAATTGTGGCCAATCAAATGCTTTCTAGTATCTGACATGTCCAGCCCCCTTGAAGACAATTCTCATTTGATGTGCTTGAGCTCAACCACTCTTTCTGGCATAACGGTGATAAAACAAAACAGTATTGGTGGGGTTTTTAAAAGGGGAGGAGCTACAGTATGTCCCACCCTCTCTTCATGTTTTGGTTGAGATTTTGTCAAGCATTCAATTAAAAATGCACACGTCAAAGCTCTTCACAAGTCCTTTAAAGAAATACTCAGGGGTCCTGAAACCTGCAAGAACAGGGTTGGAGATCCTTACACTTGAGGCGGAGGTTTTTAGCATCCTTGTTATCATGTCCACTTTCCATGCCAGTGGCGCTGGTTCAAATCTACTTGAAGCAGTGCAATTAAAACCGGAGAGGGTTCATTCGTGCAATGACCTGGATGGGAGTGAGTAGTAGGGTAGTGTAACAGATGCCAGTGAAAGTAGAAGTAAATCTCTCTCCCTGGCCTCAAGTGGCTCACTAGTTACTGAGACTTACTTTGCCTGAGACCCCCTTTTCCCCGGAAAATATTGTAACATTTAATGATATTATCGCACATATAAGTTTGCAGTAAGGATCACAAAAAATGTTGTTTTCAAACAAACAGTATGTGTATTACTATATCTAGATATGATTATGCACAAATAATAATCTAATGTAAAATATAAAAGCAAAACATCAGTAGATCATTTGTAACTGAAAAGTGTAAGCCTTTGGCCTTTAAATTGGCCCTATATTAGTTGCTAATTAGTTGCCAATTTTTTTAAACTTCTTGTCAGTGGTTGTGACATTCCTCACCTTATTTTGGGTGTGTGTCAATTTTTATGCCTTGCGCTCAAAAAATGCTCTGGGCTTGTCACGGTTTTGGGGATGAGTCATCATTAATTTGGATGGCCTTATGCATTCGTTAGCTGGAACTTTGGCATAAATAATACACTGGCTGGGTCAGGGACTATATGCTTAGAAAAAATTGAATAAAACCATAGTTCAGATAACTGTCTTGGTATTTCCTGCATTTCGCATTTCCTGTATTGCTATCGCTGCAATCCGAAATGTTTGGAGCTTCCTCACCTTGGTAAAATATGTTTGGGTCATAAGTATTAGCTGCTGAAGGCAAGTCTTTTTTGTGGAGAATGAATTACAAATTTGTCTATTTTTTGGTCTGCCAGGGAATAAAATGTACTAAGGCAACATGATCATTCTCCAAATTGTCCACTTCTTTCAAATATGACGCGACCCCATACAGAGCCTGCTGAGGCCCCCTTGTGGGATGGGACCCCCCTGTTGGGAACCCCTGTTATAGTCTGTAGTCTTTAGCAGACTTGCTAGAATGATCTCTTCCTTTAGAGCAAACACTGGTTTGAATCATGCTTGAGTAGATGTTACAATGGTGCAGTGACCCAGATGGGAGTGAGATTTAGCGGAAGTGAGTGTAACAAAGATCAAGTAGACCTCACTTTCCTGGCCTTATGTACACAAGTCAAAGGTTGAAAGGTTTTGAGGATGAGTAAATTATGATGGCATTTTCATGGTTCCATTTAACTATCTATTTTAAAACATTTTTGGCAAATGAATCTCTTATATAGGAGTATAATTAAGGATCATGTGCTATGTATCTAAAATCTCAACCGAGAACTTACTGAAGTGTTGGCTCTTAAGGGAAGGCAATCTCTGAATGACCCTCTTGATGAAGATATGCAGGTGGGAGATGATGATGAAGGGCGGGGCGAGGCAGGGGCGCGAGTGGTACTCCACAATCAGGTTGTAGCGCTGGAACTTCCAGTAGACATCACTGCGCTCCTGGACTTTATTGAATGTGTAACTGAAGACAAACAACAGGAATACAGCACCAAAAGAGATTTAGTAAAGGAGGTTTTGCTATATTGAAATTCACATGGTTGCAGCAATGAAACTTATTTGACTGTGAGTGTTGTCATTACACAACTATGAAAATAGCCACAAGTTTTTTATTGCTATGGATAAACCAGTGCACAATTCTGTCTGATACTAAAGTAGATTATTATTTACATAGGCTGGGGTAAGTGAAACAAGCATAGATATTTCAGTATTTATTTATATTTTATTCCAGCATTATTAATATTTCTTGTAATATTATAGACCTTTACTGTAACGTGAAACATTTAGTAAATCTGCTTTTTATAGTCAAAACTATTCATTTTATTGTAAGCAATACATATTGCACCTGCAATGCTCTCAGAATTGAGAACTAACTTTGCTAAAAAATCTAGTAATTTAACATTTTGCAGGATTATTCAGAGATGTGCCATGCAACAAGTGGCACTATAAGCTGCTAGCTCATAGAAACAGGTAATTTATTAAGTCCATGTAAAATCATTGTTTTAAAAACAAAAAGACATCTGATGCTAAATCAGAGTATTTTTTTTAAGGTGCATTATTATTTTTTTACCTGAACATAGCAATGAGCAAGTTCACCAACAGAATATTGGTGACCAGCAAGTAGACTGACAGTAGAATAAGGACAAGCCAATTAGCATCAGAGTCTGGGCAGGGCTCTGCCCCCTCGTGGATGAGAGTGACATTATCCGTACACCGTTTGTCGTGTCGCTTATCAGCTAGAGACAGAGAACAAAATGTAATAAAACATGAATGAGTTAAACGGAAAGTACAAAACTGTAGTTATTTTAAACTGTAGTAATATTTCACAGCCTTCCATGGTTTTGTTATATTTTTGATCAAATAAATAAAGCCTTGGTAGAGGTGAATTCTTTCAAAAAGAATTTGATACACTTAAGTTATTTAGGACTTTAGGAAGTGGATTTAGGTCCATATTACAGAAGCAAACCTTGACTTTAATTAATATTCTAAATAAAATAATAAATAATCTTATCTAGTCAGAAAATCTTAAACCACAACATTAAGTTTGACAATCAAGGTCAGTTACAGAGAAACCAACTATGGGCAAACAGCTGTTTTACTAAATGCTTAAAATGGAGAAACAATTTTGTGTTAAATGTGAGTTCAGCAGATATCGAATTAATTATCATTTTTAGAGAAAAGATAAAGCTTATTTTATTCGTCAAGATTTATTTGTTTGATCCTTGACAATTCTTCTTCCCTTGAAACAAAATGCAACTACTTTTGGATACAGCAGGTGTCGACGTTTGTGCTAAAGAAGCAACTTTTTGCACAAAAAAGTAAGGCATTAGTCACTTGCAGAATAACCATGACGGCTCATTGTCCTCTTCAATACTGGTTAAAATTGGTCTGCTAACTGCAAAATCAGATCACAGGGGTCATCAATTATGAACAATGTTTTTTTTTTTTTATCAGAGTGGCTCCTCCAAAAGTCTCTCCACCATCAAACATAACTTCTCTTTATCTTGTTTAATAAATATGTGTAATTTCATTCTTTAAAAAGCTTAACAATTTAAGCAATTAAATTGAAGCAATTAAATTTAAGCTTAGCAATTAAGTTTTAGCAGTTTGAAATTAGAACAACAGAGGTTCAGTCATAATGTCAAGTGTGTTTTAGGAAGATTTGTTGAGATTCTTTTATAGTATTCTTTTCCTATCCGTCATTAAGATAAGATAATGCCCAGTTCTGTAGTGTTTGTCCTAACTGGAATTACTATGATTACCTAAAAGATAAGACATGAATCTAAAGTTAAGATCTTTCTATAATATGCCCCCTGAACTCATAAATATGAAGAACTTCTTTGGAGGACTTGAATTCATCAAGACATACACATACCATCAATTTCATCCAGTGGTATCTGCCCGTATATGTGCATATATGGCCTGTAGAACACACGCCGAGCTACCCAACCAGGGCGAGAGTCATAGGAGTACAGCAGAGCCTGATTGGCCACTCCATATGCCATCAGCCACACCCCCAGGAAGAACAGGAAGAAGAACACATCTTTCACCTGTGGAGTGTATGAAGATTATTCAAAAGGACGATATGGACTTTTTAGGGCACACTTAAAAAGAAAGACTACTCCTCACCATTTTGCCAACTATAATGATTTTTGGACCAAGTTGTTTGTGAACTGCAAATATATGAATAAGTCTGAGTGTGAAGACTGTATAGTCAACACACATAACTGCACGACCGAAATTATATGTCCATGGAAACATCCTGTAACAAAAACACACATGCACTAACCAATACAATCACACACACAAACACGTACAGGACACATATCACTGAATTAACCTGCAGAGAAGCCCAAGAACGAAGAGCCCGAGGGCTGTGATGTCACACTTGTTCCAGATATCCTGGATGTACACCTTCATCCTTTGAGTTAAAGTGGTAGATCCTACAAAGAAAGACTGAAACAGAGAGATCAAACTTCAGCAACTGAACAAATGAGTGTAAACAGAAGTGTGATTGATTATACCTGTCGAATTTCCTCACAGGCCAGCGTAAAAACCCAGAAATACAACACAAGCTCTAAAGGAGCAGGTCCATCGGGAGGCGGAGGCTTGAAGTCAATCAACAAGACGTAAGCAAACAGGAAGAGGAAGAGGAAGTACATCAACACATTGCCTAGAAATGAAGTGACCGGTGCAAACCAGAACTGCCGCCAGCGATGGAATATGAAAGGCCGTTTCTTAGCGATGACCTTTGATGCTGAAATTTTAAAAATAAAGGTGTAAACTTTTGACAACAAATCAAACTATAACAGGATTTGTAGGGATGCACGATATATTGGCGGCCATATCGTTATCGGATGATAAATGCGATTTTTAATGTTATCGTTATTGGTCCAATATAAAAATTAGGCCTATATCTTTAAGTCGATAGATAACGTAATTGTGCAGAACTGCCTGCCTTGCACATGCATCGATTAAACTTGTTCAGACTTGTTAGAGCTTACCTCACATTGTTTATTCTTTAAAGTTCATCCTTTGTTTGTGTAGTATTGCTGTACTATAATAACTCAGTAAGTAGCCATATTCCTTATCATTGAAGATATGTTTGATAGAGTCATTTTGTATTTTGCTTTAAATCGCCTCAGGAAAAATATTACACGTGTAAACATAAAAGCAGTGATGCACACGTGCTAAACAACTTGTTGGGTTGTTTGTAATCTAATATGATTATTTGTAATATCAAAGCGTTGCTTGTTTGTGTTGTTAATGTAAGATTGTATTCAGTTTGATTTTGTTATTTAACCTATTATTTATTTGCAACAGTTAAGTTGCATGTTTATTTGCTATGTTAAGAAAAGGAAATAATTTATTTATGACATGCTGATTTATGTGAAATTATGAATGTAGATCTATATAATCACCCTGCAATCACTATTGCTTTTTTGTTTGAGTTGGCGATTCAGTTCATAAGATCAGATCAAACTTTTAAGAAGTTTTTAAAATAAAATCAGTTGTTTACTTTATAAAAATATAACATTTTGAATCATTTATATTTATAATATATCAACTAATATATTGGTTTCCAAATCTTTAGAGTTATCAGTTATCGATAAATCCATATCAGTGCATCCCTAAGAATTTGCGATCACTTAATTTAAATTCACCTTTGGGTTTTCCTCTTAAAGCATTGCATTCCTCCACATCTTCATCCCTATGGGAATAGCATTCTTTATTTTATAACATCTCTAGTTTAGCAAAACTCTTTATGGTGCTCAGAAATCCTGCATTACATGTTCGTCATGTCAGCCAATGTCTCGGCTCCATCAGTGCTGTCAAATTCTTTACCCTGACCAAAGTCCTCTGCTTTTTCATCGGCCTCCTCCACCCTAAGAGATTGAAGCACATTAAACTTTGAAGAGTGCACCATAAAAATGCAATAAGCTGAGGCAAAAATATTAATTACTGACTTGAAATTGATGAGCTTGGTGTAGATGAATGGAGGCAGGAAAAATGAGAAGACCAGTTTCCACACCTCTGTGTTGCTGTCCATGTCCCCCCACCAAATCTCTGACAATAAAGTCTAGCCAAAGACAAAATAAAGAACCATGACACTACAGCAACAGCTAAGTAATAACTCACAGTCCAATAGGTAAGCATGAAGCAGATTCACTGATCACCTGAACTCCATCATGGCTGAAGAAGAGGCGTGCGTCTGCCGATGTGGCCATCTGCAGACAGGTGGCACCACCCCATATAGGAGACTGTCTGATGAGAAGCTTGAAGGAGCGTTTCTCATTGCTCTGGTAACACTCACTGAACACATCTAATATGGAAGTCATGAGGAAATAGTTAAGTCATGTGATGATCCACTCAAATACTGGCAAGCACATAAATATTGTGTTTTATGAGTTGACACCAGTTTGTGACATACAGTATTGTAAGTACCATGATCATTAGACTACAACATCTGATACTGTTTGGAGGTTTTCATGTTTTCAGTTTTAGAACTGTATGTTTTTATATGATGCTGGCAGCTAGCTTTCTGCAATTCTCACTTGGTCACCCACTGAAGCTAAGCAGGGCAGTACCTGGTTGGGAGACCACACGGGAAAGCTAGTTTGCCACCAGAAGTGGTGTTAATGAGAACATCAGGGGCTGCTCAACTTGCGTGGGTCCTAATGCCCCAGTGTATTGATGGGGATTCTTTACTGCTCATTACCGTCTTTTGGATGAGATGTTAAACCGAGGTCCTAACTGTCTGTGGTAGTTAAAAATCTCAGGGTGTACTTCAAAAAAAGAGTAGGGGTTTAATCCTGGCATCCTGGCCAAATTTGACCACTGGCCTCTGTCCAACACAGCCTCCTAACCATCCCTATATCATAATTGTTTCATCAGCTGGTGTGTGGGGTGCAGCTCGGCGCAATATTGTTGTTGTCGCTGCACACTGGTGGTGGATGAGGAGATTCCCCTCCAAAAATGTGTAAAAGTGATTTAAGTGTCCATAAAAGCACTATATAAATGTTAGGAATTATTATTATTATTATTATTATCATTATTATCATGAACATCAACATTATTCTGCAGTGTGTGTCAGGGGACACAGTGGTCAGATGGTTTTATGGTAGTATGATTTTATACAGAGATGTGAACTCTTTTTACAAGTTGGAATCTCACAAATAAAGTAATTACAGCATGGAGCAAATGCACCTATACACAATGCAATACATAGGAGTAGGGATTGTAAAGGTTTTTTAACTGTCTATAAGTAAAACAATAATATTGTGAAATATAAGTACAATCTAAAATACCTGTTTGCAGTTTTGAGGTATTTTCGCATCAGAAATCATTCTAATGTCCTGATTTTGTGCTTATGAAACATTTGCTGTAATTACTGTTGAAAACAGTTATGCTGTCCAGTATTTATGTGCAAACTGTAATATATATTTTAGTACTCTTTGATGGATTTAAAAAACTGAATGTTATTGAAAGATACATTTTGTCATTAGAAACATTATAAAACATTTTGTAGACAGTTTACCGATGTTATTTGGATCTTCTTAAATTATGCCAGAGAACATAAATATCAGGTTTTAAACAATTTTGTGGAATTAATTGCAGCTCAGGTGATTTAAAAGAAAAGAAAAATAGAAACATAGAAACTATGACAGACTTCATGCTAATTATACAGCAACATCTTTCTAAATACAGTCCCATCTGCAATATTAAAAACTTAATTTCCACTCACCATGTGCCAGATTTTCAAAGGTTTGAGCAAGTTCCTTCATGGAGAGCTTAGTCTCAGTCTCTGTCTCCAGTTTGGACAGCTCTCTTAAAATCTTACACCCGGCAAGAGCACTTAGTACAGACTCTCCAGTCTAAGATTAAGAGAAATCTATTAAAATCACAAGTGCAACCATACGCTATTCACTTTATACTGTTACTCTACACTACAATTAAAACAGGATTTTCAATCATAGCCAAATGTCAAATTTCCTGACTTTCACTGACTAAGAAGCTGAATTTCCATAATTTATAATAAAGAGAAAAACAATTGTGTTGAGCACTGAGCAGACACACACAAAAATAAATAAACATATTTCTAAAAAAACAGCCTGGTGACTAAATTTGAGTTAGGAATTGACGGTTGAGAAGTGGGAAAAGAATAAAATGATACTGAAAAATACTGAAAAACACAATAAAAAAAACTATAGAAAAATTACATGTTGATAAATGGAAAGTACAATTTTAAAATATGTGGTATTCAATGTCATATATATAAAATTATTTTAATGTCTGGAATAGACTTTAAAATTTAACTATATTTCAGAAACTCTATGACGCATGTAGGACCCTGTTTAAACAGTTATTCTTTGGCTTTAGTGTGATGCAGAATCCACACCACTAGGTGGCATTATAGAGTCATGGATTGGAGGAACATTCATGTAAATATATGCCACAATTTGTTTAAAAATTAGAAAATATATGCATTTTACCATGATACGGGTTTCAACCATAATGATTTTCTACTACCATTTTCCAGAAGTATAGCGACATTTCTCTGCGATTCTGCAGAACAGCCCAAATGAACAGAGATATCCAGGGGGATGTACAACGCTGCCGTCGGTAAGTACTCTCATTTAGCAGTAACTTATTCACATGCTGAAAGGAAGAGTGAACAAAGAATGTTACTATCTATATACTATATATATAGTTAAATTCAGGATTATTAGCCCCCGTTTATTTTTTTTCCTTGATTTCTGCTTAACGGAGAGCAGATTTTTTCAACACATTTCTAAACATAACAGTTTTTATAACTCATTTTTATAACTCATCTCTAATAACTGAGTTATTTTATCTTTGCCATGATAAATGATGGTTTGTTCTGTAGTATAATTACCTTCATTGCTTTCCTTGAGTTGACTCTATGATCTAAACCAAGAGTCGTGTAGTAAAATGGCTGGCAGACATCTTCCATAATTTCTGATAACACTCGTGAAACCTAGAAGATTTATGCACAGGTTTGAGCAACAGTCTGAGATTAAGACAAAAAAATAGGATTTATGCTTGGATATAGCTTAATTTTACCTTAACTAATTAAATTATATATAAAAGAGTAATTGATTAAACAGAAAGTATTATATTTTAAACCATTAAAAACATCTAACTGATCAATGGCTAAAACCTAGCATTGAAGGATAGTGGCAAAGGTTTAAAATGATGGTTAAACTTAAGTTCAGTTCATATCTCATCACATTATTTTTGTTCCAATTATTTTGGTGTTTAAGCCATTATTACAATGACATATTATTACATTTAATTGGGCATCTTATGTTGTACTCATGTTCAAAATACTGTTTAAAATTGATCATTGCTCAGGTTAGCATCTGTCCATTTACCTCATACAGAGTGAGGTCTCGAGCAGCAGATGGTGTGGTAAGGTTGGTGGCTTGGCTCTTGAAAGAGGAATTGTCATCAGGTTGAGGAGTTAATCGAGTCTGAGAGGCAGCTAAGCCCACTCGCTCCTGCAGCCGCCTTTGGAGGAATGAGGACACCAGATCACAGTCCGACAGTGAGCTGTAAAGACTTTCCAAACGATGGTACGTCAGATAGGCCAAAATGTTTAAGCCGCTTTCCACAAACAGACGCACAAAATCTGGCTTGTCGTTTACCAGAGCATCAGTCATCGATTCCTCCAGGTCCTCATACTGAGAGAAGGATTAATGAATAGAAGCTGTTAAAAATCTATTTACATCTGGATTTGGTTGCGTTAAATCTGCTATTAATCGTACCCTCCAGTGGACATCACCATTGAAGAGTTCAGTCTTGGCAATATCCACTCTGTTCCAGGCCACCGCCAGCTTCAGCTCTTCTGTGTACTCGCTTGCATCATTAGAATCACGTTTAGCAGCTGAACACACAAACGCATACGCACATTAACCCACACATGCATTCTGAAAATGTCTTGAATTCTCAAAGCAGCTGATTTAATCTCACCTCTTACAAGAGCTTTCAGGATGATTGTGTCAAAGTCATCTGACCCATCCTCATCTCCATGAAAGATAGTGATCAGATCTCTATTATGATAGATGCTGAGAGCCTGGGCGAGAAAGAGAAAAGTAACTAAAAGTATGCAGCATACACTCTCTACACAGTGTCTCTTGCTGTAAGCTCACCTGATCCACAAGCTTGTCCAGTTCAGTCTCAGAAGGGAAGTGTTTCCTAATTCTCTCCTTCACTCGGTCCCTGAGCTCAATGCTGGAGCTCTTGCTGCTTTCCTCAGAGTCGCTTTGCAAAGTGGGACTCACGGGTGGACTCAGAGGAGCGCTGAGGTCCTTCAGTATTCCTGCAATCAGGTCTGATGCAGACCCCGACCCTGCCAGCACCAGCCATGGAGTGCTGTTTTTCAGAGATAAATCCACTCTCTGCAAGGAGAAGGAGATTATTTTAGATTATTTTATAATTTTAAATATGTTTGAAGTTGATTTTAGACATGTTCACACCAAGAACAAAAACCAGAGCTGGGTAGATTACTGATTATAAATTGCATGGTTCTAGATTTCTCATTTTGTAATGTAACTATTGGATTACTTTTTTTACCCAACTTGTTTATATCGTACACTTTAAATCTGAGAGAGACTTAAAGTTCATATTTTTGTTTGAAAGGGACTAAATAACCAATAAAAATGATTATTTGCTTAACACATAACATGAACAAACAAAACAAACGTCTTCTACGATTAAAATTTCTTTGTTCAGACCTTTACAGTTAATAATTAATGAAGGGCAGCGAATATGATGATAAGGTATATACAGTTGATGTCAAAATTATTAGCCCCCTGAATTATTTACTCCCATTTAATTTTTTCCCCAATTTCTGGTTAACGGAGAGCAGATTTTTTTCAACACATTTCTAAACATAGTAGTTTGTTCTGTAGAATAGTGAAAAAATATAGCTTCAATGGGCTAATGATTTTGACCTTAAAATGTTTTTTAAAAAATTAACTGCTTTTAATCTTGCCGAAATAAAACAAATAAGACTTTCTCCAGGAGAAAAAATATTTTCAGACATACTGTGACAATTTCCTAGCTCTATTAAACATAATTTGGCAAATATTAAAAAGGAAAAAACTATTCAAAGTGGGGCTTATAATTCTGACTTAATCAGTATGTAGCGGGTGTGTTTAGTAACTTGCATAATTATTTATTTGTTGTATGATTTAAAATATGTCCTCCCTCCAAATTCAGAAGCATGGACTGTTTACATAGCAATTCTATTTGATAAGCAGTCAAGGCTAAATTATATGTGGATTGAATTTGAGAGTATACGAACTGAAAACATAAATATAAATAACTTATTGATTTTATTTAGGGTTTGCGATGCAAATCCAATTAAAACCACTTGTTAAGCAAAGTTTATAAAATAGTATATCATTATAATGTAATAATATACTACAAGACAAAAAATATTCCTATATTTACACATTTTTTTGTGAACATTCATTCAGTCATTTTCTTTTCAGCTTAGTCCCTTTATTAATCAGAAGTCACCACAGCGGAATGAACCGCCAACTTAACCAGCAAATCTCATTACATAGTGGATATCCTTCCAGCTGCAAAGCTAAAATATTGTGAACTTATTATTTAATAAGATTATGAAATATTTCAATAACTAAAGAAAAAAAAACGTAATAAATAAGCATAATTACATACATTTACATAAGTCAATAAATATAATGAATGACAGACTCAAGTCTGATGGCCAAGGTCCCATTAAATAGGTAAACATAAGTGAAATTCAAATTTAGTTTTATTTTAAGGTAATAAATTATTTTTTAAAAATTAACATTGAAATTAATGGGCAGCACGGTGGCTCAGTGGTTAGCACTGTCGTCTCAAAGCAGGAAGGTCGCTGGTTTAAGCCTGGCTGGGCCAGTTGGCATTTCTGTGTGGAGTTTGCATGTTCTCCCTGTGTTGGTGTGGATTTCCTTTGGGTGCTCCGGTGTCCCCTAGAAGTCCAAAGACATGCGGTATAGGTGAATTGAATAAACTAAAATTGCCATAGTGTATGTGTGTGAATGTGATTTTGTATGGATGTTTGCTAGAATAGCTGGCGGTTCATTTCGCTGTGACGACCCCTGATAAATAAGGGACTGAGCCAAAAGAAAGTGAATGAATAAATGAATGAATGAATGAATGAATGAATGAATGATTAAAATCAATTATAAAGTAAAACTGTGTAATGACCTCGAGCATTGTAGCATCTCCTGCAATCAGCACACACAAAACAGGAATCTCAATGCTTCCACTTCCTGGAAATAACAGGGGGAAGACAGATTTGTTAATGGAAAAAGTTAACAAAACAAGTAAATGAAAACATGAATAACATGAGTTGTTGGTTTTTTGTTTGCATTATCTATCTTCTCCACTAGAGAGCAGTGTAGCCCTCATATAACAAACACAATGAAATTATTCAGAAAAAGCATTTAGTTCAATTCCGAAAACTGCTGATTTCCATAAAAATTGCACACAACTGTTTAGTTTCCCTCTTCCTTCCTCTCTCTTTGTGTTTACTTCTCTGTTATTTATTTTATTTAATAAAAGGAAGTGCATAGTTCCTGAGAGACATGCCTGTGTTTCCTGTCCTAGTCCCTGATGAAGATTATTTTCTGGTTCTCTGTGGTCAAGAAGAGTTCAACCATGTTTTTGTAAGTGCTTTCCAGCTGAACCTTCTCCTCTCTTTCTCACCCCAGATGCCAGTGCGCTGATGGGAGATGAAGTCCTCCAGGTTGGCTCTGAATGATGTCTCACTGCCTCTGTGACCCACACTTCCATCATCCACTAAGAGGAAGGCCTGGTGGTTGTTGTCCAGACAGCTCGAAGCACTGGGCATGTCGTGCACATAATAGCGTGCAGGAAAACTACCCTTGTAAAGAATAACCAAAGGTAAGTTTTCACAGAAGCCAATGCTACGTCCAGTTCAAGCACTGTTTAGACCTCGTAATGTCTTGCTGCTATATACAGTGCTCAGCATAATTGAGTACAGCCCATTTTGAAAATGACTATTTTTCCTCCATTTCTCAGTCAATATAGACAATGTATTTTGGTGCATTTAAACAAAACAGATTTATTAAATTGATCTATTTATTAAAATAATATTTTAGTCACCAAACATATTTATGAACTGAAGGATAACACAATTAAATTCAAGCAAATATTGCAAAAATAAATTACAACCTATAAAGTTTCAACATATTTTTTTGATTTTTCCTCTTTTTTAAATTTGTATTTGATATTTTTTATAACATATAAATTTAGCTGCACCAGTTATCATAAGTTATTTTGTTAGATAAGCTCCAGATTTGGCTTCAGTACTGACTAATCTAATGTATATGCACAAATATAATATTGTATAGCTTCCTATTAAAAATATGAATTTAACAGATTAATGAAAAGATAAAAGATTTGTATATGATAAGCACAGTATTGTACTGTAGAATTTATATGTGAGCCATGCTTAAATTTTACATTTGAGCCAAACCTGCAATTGCATTTATTAATTTGTCAAACAAAAAATGGCCTCTGTAAATAGTGCTATGTACAAATTAGATTTTCTTTATATTTGCAATTAAATTACTGTTGTTTATTTAACTATCAGTAAATCTTTTTTGGTCAGTTCAAACTGATATCCTACCAGAGTAATCACAGGCTTACGACAATACTTATTTCTGTTGTTTGTATGACTGATGCAATAGTGATTATTTAAAATCAAGTGACCAGCACTCAAAACCAATTATATATTTCAAAATAATAATACTAATTGAATATAATTTACATTTAAGTGGATAAGTAGATTAAACTGTAAAACTATTAATCAAAATCAATCATGGTTCTATTTTAATAACCAAATATAGGAAAGTGGGAATGACGTGGACATTGTGATAATACTCTAATCTTCCCTGTAGTGGCATTATCTGTGAAACAGCTACTTAATAAGAAACATGTAGGACACGACTTGATCTTGTCATTGGGAAATTGATTGGATTGTTACTTCATAAACGATATCTGTGGTTCTCCTATGATTGACAGGTTGTCCCGGCCTAGAACTATTTTGCTCGATTTTTATATACATATATATATATAATTATTTTTTTTAACTCTCAACATACCTATTATTGACAACTTCATTTAACTAATAATCAATTTGAACTAATATTCAAACTAATAATCAATTATTAACCTTTACCTCAGGTGATTATATAAATAGAACTACTCAAATATTCATTCTAAGCATGGCGTTTATGTGAACTGTTCATTATTTAACAGAATTGACACTGCAGTACCTGTGGGTTTACAAGTTGATGACGTTGGTAAATTAACCCCCATGGTGCAACACCAACGGCAATAACTTTAGCCTGAGAAAGAGATGAAGCCATTGCACAATGATGCCTGACGGCCTCACCTACACAACGGCTAACACCCTCCTTCAGACCTGACGTCATGATCCAAGCCCCTGCATTAAAAGACAAGGGGGAAAAAAACAACAAAAAAAGTTACTAAATTACAAAACCGTACTGCACAGAAATACATCAGGGCTCACAAAACACTATCATTGACAGACAAAGAATTCAAATAATGCAGCACAAACGTTCGTAGTTCAAGCCAAGCCTAGCATTTAAATGATAATAAACCTTATCTGGCAAACAAGACTACAAACAGCAGGAATGCCACTGTTGAGAAATTCATGCTAAACTGTCTATTACTGACCTTAAAGGGATAGTACAATATTTCCAAAACAGAAAATTCCGTCATCATTTACTCACTGTTTACTTGTTTAAAACCCATTTGACTTTCTTTCTTATATAATACACAAATGTTTTCAAGAAAGCTACAAACCTGTAACTATTAATATTCATACTTGTGTTTCCTACTATGGATGAATACCAGTTTTCAACTTTCTTCAAAATATATTCTTTTATATTCAACAGAATAAAGAAACTCATTAAGGTTTAAACCACAAAACCAATTTTAATTTTTGGGTGAACTATCCCTTTAGAATTTCACAATCTATTGACTAAATACTACATACATGAAATGTGAAATGTACGATAAACATATACCTGGCCTGCCTGTGAACTACTCTGTGTACCAGGTCACCAAAACATGTACTTATTCAATCATCAAAATGTTTCAAGTATACACAGACTGAATATTCACAAAATACACACTTTGACTACAGATGTCTCAACCAAACCAAAATGATATGTCCACTACAGTTTCATAAGATTCATTTTTTGTCATGACTGCTGTAATTTTGCTGGAATTCACATATTATCACCTGCGAATGTCTTCAGACACACCGACACTTACTCATGTCAAATATATAGAGCATTTCGATATAAAACTGAAATTACATCACTGACATCTCTGAGTTTTAGTAAGTATGTGATAAATACTATAATAAGACCTAGAATGTTCCTAGAAAACTCCTAAGTGACAAATTTGCAAACTGAAACATTGTTAGTTTTAGTACATTGCTAACATGCACAATATACAAAGAACCGAGAAAAAATGAACAGAGTTAATAATTAGGAATGTCCCGATTAGGTGTTTTTGCCCTTGAGTCCAAATTATTTGATTTTGAGTATCTACCGATACTGAAACCCGATCCGATACTTCTATAAAAAAAGCATAAAGAAGAGCAAAGAAACAGATGGAGAATGGAGTCAATCCATTGTGTGGTAAGGCTTAGTAGAGACAGGGGAGCTATGGACAAACTCCATATGTCTGTGGTGAATGTAACATGGGGTATATCTTATAACAGGACAAGTAGATTGTCAGAAATCTTCTTATAAAGGGCTGGCAGAGCTTTCTCTGTGAAATAGTGGTGAGATGGCATTTCAAATTGAGGTTTTACGTTTGTTTTTGAGGTGTCTCATCAGGTTTGTTGTGTTAAATGTAGCCTTTTTGTTTCCACCTCTTGCAATGTCAAGTTTACATATCTAACAATTTTGGCAATGGCAATGTTGTTGTCATGAACTTTATAATACCTCCAGACCACTTTCTGCTTCAAGCTGCTTCCGTGTTCAACTTTGCCAGCATTTAACCAATAGCGTTTCTGCAACAAAGTTATGTTATGCTGCACACGTTGCTGTTTTTGTGTGAATTTTCATCCATGAAGCATGTGATTATGAGCTACAGGACGTCAAACCGCATTTTAAATAGCAAAAGCACAATTACTTATATTCCAAAAATTATGGAACAATATGCATTATTAATTATCGTAACATCCTGCAACTTACAATGCAGTGACTAATGGAATTAAAGCAAACAAAGTGAGCCAATATTTGAGTATTTGTAAGAAATGTATATAGAACATTTCCCACACACCTCCAGTTTCAGTTTACATTGGCTTTTATCAAAACATTAGAGAGATTAGAGTAAGAAACATGAATACATTTATAATAAATGCAATTTTATAGCATTACTTAGTGTTACCAGCAGCCTATTTCACATTGTTTCTGAATGAAAATATAAACTGTGACTCGTACACCAATTCAAATACTGTTTTGTATTTACTCAAAACTGACATTTTGACCTAGTTAGTAACAGACAGGTTTGACTTGTTTTCAAGAAAATGGTAATTATTACATGAAATGTAAAGCTAGTAAAACAAAGAGAAAATTATAGCTATAGTTAACACAATATTAACCTGGGTCAAAGGGTGGAAGGAGAAGTAGGGTTTACAGTCCACACGTGATTCACTAGAGAAGTGGGTATAAAGGTTTCAAGCACTAAATATTACAGGCTCATAACTGAACTAAAGATACACAAACATAGGAGTGGTTACCTGTGCTCTGAGCGGCATGGACAAGACCCTGTCTGATCACTTCTCGAACCCAGGGTTTGGCCATCTCTTTTTCATCTCCACCCACCATGGAAACCACTAGATTGGGCACCGGCAAACCCCACTGAGACGTCATCAGCGAGTACACATTATCAGGAGGGGTGTCGAATGACAGACGCAGAAACTTGGGGGAAAAAAGATGAATGCAAATGTAAGTGCATTGTGACAAAAAAACCCATCTCTGTCAGACCAAAATCCCACACACTATTAATACATGCCAAATGTTAAAGCTTTATTGTCACAAGCAATAATTCAATCCACTGACCTTCATCAAGCACAACACTAACAACCAATGTCAATGACACTACATTTAGACCAATCACTTTTCTTTCGGCTTAGTCCCAGATTTATCTGGGGCCGCAACAATAGAATGAACCACAAATTTCTCTCATATAGGTTTTTAGTAGATGCCCTTTTAGCTGCAACTTAGCACTGAGTGCACATGTGCTCAGAGAAAACTGATGTCATTGCATTTGGGAACAGAGATGAGGTTCTCAAGGTGAATGCATACCTTGGCTCTAGGGGTCAAACAACTAAAAATAAGGTCAAGAATTAGGGCTGTGCCGATAAACGATATTATATCAAATCACCATAATTTCTGTCAATAACAATGATAAGCTCCAAACCTTTTTACTTTATATTGATCTAAGAGCCAATCACACAGCAGAAATGTGCAACAATGGAAATCTAAAAGTGTGCTGGTATAAAACCACTGAAAATGTATTGGCCAAAAATGTTAAGGCATTTAATCGACTCTCTAACTTTTGTAGCTTCAGTCATTGTTTGGGTATTCTTTTAAATCGAAATATATATCGTTATCAGTCAGAATGGAAAATATTTATTCAGATTGCATTTTTGCCATATCACCCAGCCGTATCAAGAATCTTGGTGTTATTCTGGAGTCTTTAGGAGTCATGTCAAAGCAGTAAGTAAATCAGCATACTATCATCTCAAAAACATTGCAAGAATTAAATGCATTGTTCCCAGTGAAGACATAGAGAAATTTGTTCATGCGTTTATCACCAGTAGGGTGGATTACTGTAATGGGCTCCTTACTGGCCTTCCCAAAAAGACAGTCAGACAGTTGCAGCTCATCCAGAATGCTGCTGCCAGGATTCTGACTAGAACTAGAAAATCAGAGCACATCACACCTGTCTTCAGGTCTTTACACTGGCTACCATTTACATTCGGAACAGATTTTTAAAGTGTTATCACTTTTCTATAAATGAGGTCTAGGACCTCAATACATTACAGATATGCTCTCTAAAGATCACTCAGATCTTTAGGATAAAATAAATTTGAAATTAGAGTTAAATAAAGAGTTCAGACAAAGCAGGGTAAATCAGCCTTCAGCTATTACACCCCCTGCTGCTGGAATCAGCTTCCAGAAATGATCAGATGTGCTCCAACATTAGGCACATTCAAATCAAAACTGAAAACACATCTGCCTTTACTGAATGAGCACTGTGCTACGTCCAGCAGATTGCACAATTAAGTTTCTTTTCTTTTTCATTCTTTTATAACCTGTATAACACATTTAATCTGTTTGAATAATTTTTATTCTTTGTTGTTTTTATTTTTTTATTCTTGTTTCTTTTATTTGTGTTCATGTAAAACACTTTGAATTACCAGTGTGTGTAAAATGTGATAGGGCAACGCAGTGGCGCAGTCGGTAGCATGTTCGCCTCACAGCAAGAAGGTCGCTGGGTTGCTGGAACCTCGGCTCAGTTGGTGTTTCTGTGTGGAGTTTGCATGTTCTCCTGCATTCGCGTGGGTTTCCTCCGGGTGCTCCGGTTTCCCCCACAGTCCAAAGACATGCGGTACAGGCGAATTGGATAGGCTAAATTGTCCGTTGTGTGTGTGTGTGTGTGTGAATGACTGTGTGTGGATGTTTCCCAGAGATGGGTTGTGGCTGGAAGGGCATCCGCTGCGTAAGAAGTTGCTGGATAAGTTGGCGGTTCATTCTGCTGTGGCGACCCCAGATCAATAAAGGGACTAAGCCGACAAGAAAATGAATGAATGAATAAATAAAATGTGATATAAATAAACTTGCCTTGCCCTAACTCGTGATCCCCCAGTGCTGGGAAACGCATACACTCATACACTACAGCCAAATTTAATTTATCCAGTTTATCTATACAGCATGTCTTTTGACTGTGTGAGAAACTGCAACACCTGGAGGAAACCCACGTGAACACAAGAACAAGAATCACCAGCTCATTCATCATATATAACAAGTAATCAAACACTCAACAGGCATATTTCAACAATACAAATAAATGATGTTCCATTATTCACAAATCATGTTTGTAAGGGTACAATATTAGACAATTCCCATCTCTGTAAAGTTACAGCATCCATTCTTCATTAAACTCTTAATTGGTCTGCATGTAGTGTCGGAGACATTCATTGGTTTTGAGTGAATTTTAAATGTTTTGTCTTCAAAGCTACACATGCCTGACGATGGTCAATAGACTGAAGCATTGTTTGTGACAATGAAACTATTTAGCAAGTATTGATGGTATCTTTGAAACTTCTGAGAGATATGTAATTCGGTACAAAGGCATCAAGACAAACACGACATTCCTAACATACAGAAACATGCACAATGTTTTTGTCACTGTGACTCCACAAATTCTGAATGTAGGATGGGATTTCTGTCAAAAGAGAAACACTGAATGATGGCTCAGAAGCAAAGCAAAGCAAAAAACAAAAACAAAAAAATAATAATAAAATAAATAAAAAATGTTTCTAAATCTTAAAATAGCACCATGATCCAAAGAGTTTTTCTTTTGTTTGTCTAAAGTTAACAGGTTTAACTGTTTATGGGAAAAGTTTATGGCCCCAGGCTCTGTGGCATGGGTTTGGGTTCATGGAAAGTTTGTAATTACTATCGAATTACATAGTTTCATTATGTAATTGATCAGCAATTTGACATATATTTACAATTAGCCAAGCTGATCTAAAGAAAACTGCTTGGCTTGAAGCCTTTTCACTGTGTTCCAAATCCAAATTTGCCTCTGAAGGGTATATCAGAGTGGGACAAGTCATTCCCACCGTACTGAACGGCTGAAAACAGGTGCTCAAAAAGGGTTTAAATCAGGCTACTTCAGAGCGTCCTTCAAAGTGAAAAATTTCAAAGGGTACAAGTGCTAGACACTTTTCACTTAAATGTTTTTTGTGTGCATCTGACACAAGCTGATGTAAAAAAAAAATGTTTCATAGGAGAATTTTTTGGCCTCCTCCACCCTTCATTCTCTTTAAACAATCTCAAACTCAATTCCTGGAGGGCTGCAGCACTGCATAATTTATCTCCAACCACCTCCAACTTACACCTGCTTAATAGACACTAGGGCTGCATCTGAAATCACATACTTCGATACTATATAGTATGCTAAAAACAGTATGCGAGCCAAGTAGTGTTTCCGAATTCATCTAACTTTTCGAAGTGTGCCTTTGATGGATTCTACGCTATCCCATGATGCACTGCTAGATAATTCATGAATGCAACTGATGCGGGTAGGTCATGTGATCATGTCAAAAAAACGGATGTAGTACATCGGAGTTCCATTCATACTAGTCACATTCATACTGTATAAAACATTATTTCTAATGGTTGAGTAGTAAATTTAAATGCAGTGCCTACTGGGTAGTAGGCGATTTTAGACGCAGACTAGTAGTCTCAAACACCTTGATTAGTTGGATTAGCTGTTTTTGATTAGGGTTGAAGCAAAACTGTGAAAACAGCCCTCATAAAATTAAATTTGAGATCTATGCCTTAAAACTCTCTTAACACCTAAAAAAAATAAGAGGGCATAGAGATGAGTCTTCAGATCAGAACACTGCCTGTGTAATTTCACAGAATTTTGCTAATGTGACAGCATATTTAGCCACTGACATATACATCTAATTTTGATCAATAGAGCCCCAATTACCCATCAATCATAGTTGCGTCTACAAATGGAGTGAATATTCTGGATTCAGAAATTGTGATCATGTATAATTATGTGATTATGTGTGTTCAGCAGAGATACGCACTGGACAGTGTCTCCGTCCGGCTCCAACAAACTCCAGCTGTCCAAAGGCATCAGTGGGATAATCAGAGGTGTCCCGTGCTCTGTCCCATTGGCCGACTACATGATCATCTGCTGTTGTAGATACATGAAGGTCCCGTGCTCCACCACACTGACATAAAGCTCCATTACTGCCAGACAGAGAGAAAGGGAGGTAGAGAGAAAACTGTGAGTACTGAATACTCATATACTTACTATTCAATTAAACTCAATTCATCTTTATTTCTTTAGCGCTTTTACAATGTAGATTGTGTCAAAGCAGCTTAGCATAAAAGTTCTAGTAAATTGAAACAGTGTCAGTCCAGTTTTCATAGTTGAAGTTCAGTTTAGTTCAGCTCAGTGTGGTTTAATTTTCACTGCTGAAAGTCCAAACACTAAAGAGCAAATCCTTCGATGTGCAGCTCCACAAGTCTTAAAGCAAGCAAGCCAGTGGTGACAGTGCTGAGTTATACACTTCACCAATTGACGAAAGTGAAGGAAAAAACCTTAAGAGAAACCAGGCTAAGTTGGGCACGACCATTTCTCCTCTGACAAAACGTTTTGTGCAGAGCTGCAGTCTAGGCGCCGGGGGCTGAAGAACACTGGACGTCCATTGTGGAGAAGCTGCAGGTGTGAGTAGGTCACGGGTGGGTGTTCAGGCCGGCCCACAGGATCAATTTGAAGAGTAATCTGTCACGGCGTCTTTCAGGAAATGGTCTCATGCTCATGCAGGATATGGCCTGGTCCAGGATTATGGATACCTCTATGGTTGCCATTCAGGGCATGAATTCAATCTTGTTTATATGTGTGTATCACTGACACTGTAATATGTGACCTGTTCATTTTAATGTAATACATCAAAATGGTAGTAACCTAAATCAAACTCAAGAATGTCACGTAATGTACACATCATTGATTGAATAAATAAATTAGATTAAAACTGTACCTGCCCAAATCCCATTATGAATCAAGCCCATTACATTTAACAATAGCTTGAAATAAAGAGAGGAAAAGGACACGGATTATAATGAGTTGACAAATGGTTAGGAGTTCACCTGTATTCAAGACAAAATGACATGTTTGTTGACCCACCCTACATTGCCAAATCCGAGATTTAACGGCTCAGCTCATATTACAAGAGGCTGAATGACTGTTTTAAATGACAGAAAGGACTGAATAGTTTCCTGCATATTCTAGTAAATCTAAATGCATGAGAAATGAAAAAAACTGCTGTACCTGCATGAATCCTCCACAAAGGTGGTGCACACTCTCTTTTTAATCATCTTTGGGATCCAACTCTACAATGCAGACATTACACAGTGAAGTATGAGTCATTTTCGCATGCAGGTCCGGTTTCTTTTCAAAGTCAGCAGCCGAGAAGAGCAAACTATTTTGTTGAATAGCAAAAGAGCTTACAAGGAAATGTAATCCTAATCACGGAAACACATTTTATTCATTTGCCTATTTTTAGTTGCCTCAAAAATTAATTTAGCTAAAAACATGGAACAACAAAACCTTAATCACACAACCGAACTACTGCAATTTTAAATGGATAATAAAATTTAAGGCTTTTGTCTGCATGAAAGTACATAATGTTCTAGCAAATTGATGTATTTAGAAACATTGATAAAAACATGAAAATAACTATTATTATAAAATTATAATAATTATATGTTATAATTATATGTTATTACAAAAAATAGATGAGATAAAGGATGAAACACACAAGTGATCATTTATGAGCACTGTACACAAATAGACTTACTTTCTGATTTTTCCTACAACTACAGACACATTTCATATTTATTCAACATACAGTTGAAGTCAGAATTATTAGCCCCCCTTTAATTTTTTTTCTTTTTTAAATATTTGCCAAACATTGTTTATCAGAGAAAGGAAATTTTCACAGTATGTCTGTCAATATTTTTTCTTCCTGAGAAAGTCTTTATACTACAATAAAAGCAGCTTTTAAGCAGCCCCTTTATGCAATATTGTATCCCAATTTTCTACAGAACAAAACATCATTATACTATGACTTGCCTAATTACCCTAACCTGCCTAGTTAAGCTAATTAACCTAGTTAAGCCTTTAAATGTCACTTTAAGCTTTACAGAAGTGTCTTGAAAAATATCTAGTCACATATTATTTACTGTCTTCATAACAAAGATAAAATAAATCAGTTATTAGAATTGAGTTATTAAAACTATTATGTTTAGAAATGTGTTGAAAATATGATTTTCGCTAAACAGAAATTGGGGACAAAAATTAACAGAGTGGCTAATAATTGAGGGGGACTAATAATTCAAGTGGGCTAATAATTCTTACTTTATCTGTTTAAGCTATGATATACCTTAAAATTGCTGATAATTCAACATAACCAGCATTGCAGTTTAAAAACATTTTACGTGGGTGGCTAATTTGTATAAATTCAAATCTTACTCAAATGTCATTCATATATTTTGGTACAAAATGCTGGTTGTGACGGTTATGTTTGCCATGACAGATAAATGCGATAAACACAACTTCTTACGGGTCCATGTTACTTTATAATTTGCAGCTATCCTTCAAACTACAAGGATTGGCTCATTTATCAGCAAGACATTTTTAGAAGTGAATATCATATACATTTAAGTCAGTTTTATCATCTATCATTTATTTATTTTAATAAGGATATGTATTCTATTATAGTTTACATAAATATATTTATTACACTGAAAGACAATTTGCCAAAATGAGGAAAAGAAAACTGGTGTTAGTCAAACTAAAATTAGATTATAAAAAATAAGCATTTTATGCCTCTTGCATATGGAGCTTACCAGTTTGCTTCGGACAAACTTCAGCTCCAGCTTTTTTAAATATAAAACAGTTTTGACTATTTAATTTGATGCATTTACCAGTCTGTTCAGTAGTTTTGTCAGTCACTTGTTTCATGGCGTGTTTTACATAACTACACTTGTTGCAGTCATGAAAATTATCTTTTCAAACATTTCCTGACTTTTAATATAGTGCTATTTAATAAAACCGAAATACCTTAAAATATCCACTTTAACATTTTACTTTACTTATTGAGAAGGATTTAGCGGATTATTCACACATACCAGACTTCCACATACCAGAATTTACAATTACACACCTGATCCTTTTGGGCTTTTCTCTCTCCTCCCCCACAGCCTTCACTCTCTTTCTCGACTCTCTTCATTTTGATCATCTTGCCGTCTTCTACTTTAGATGATTGTTAATTGTTCTTCATAAGAGCTCCATCAGTGGTCCGGTTCCACCTATGCTCAACCTGGCTGTGAACCGGATTCCCACTTTTTTTCTTGCAGTCGTCATTGTGTAAACCCCGCCCACACCACGCGCGCTCCCCTGGACGCGTTCCTGCACGTCTTTGTGATGGTCGGATTGTGTTCTGTTGGATTACCACACAGTGGGCGTCGAGGGAAGGCAAAACAAATATACGCTTTTGATAAGTCGTGAAGGGAAAAAGATAAGACGTTCCACATTGTTTTAAACCGCATATCATTCGCAGGCAAACTGTGGTGATTAGTAACCAAAGATTGTGTTATCGATTGCGGTCAATGACTGACAGATAAACGGCTACTTGTGATCAATTTATGATCATATATTCTGCTTGATACACTATTATTTTGTTAAATATGTATAGAGATATTACTGGATCTGAAACAAAACTCTCAATATTTCATGTACCTGCAGGCGTCTTTTTGAAGTGATGCAGTTATGCTGGTTTGACAATTTCAGCATCAGGAAGACATAATCGGATAGTTCACTTGTCAAATACGCATTATTGTTTTCTTCTTAATAATTCTAGGAAAAATTACAAAGGACTAAATGAAAATTGAAATCTTTAAAGGTTGTTTTTATACAACAAATATACAAGATAGGAACTTTTTCAAGATTAAAGCTAAAATTTAGTTTCAAAACAGTCGTACAATCAGTGGTACACATGATCAATTTTAAATGCTCAAATACAACACTAATATTAATGTTTTCTTTTTACAAGAAGCTTAAATTGTTGCTCTCACATCAGTCCATTTAATTATATTCAGGTCGTATCAAACGAATCAAGGTAGAGCTTGTAAAATTCTGATGCAGGACCTGCTTCATTACAATTGAACTGATGAGGTCACTGTTCCAGGTCTCAGACTATTTAGCTGACAAGCTCAAAAATGTGTGTAGTACCTGCTGTACAAGTCTGCATAAAACTGGCTCCAGGTCAGGTCATCTTGAAATGATGAAATTTTAGGTCCACATTCTTTTCACTGTTTAGGCAAACCATCAAAAAAGTATGAATTAGTTGATTTGCACAAGAGAATGGCTATTTTAATACTTGACAATGTAATAAAACTAATAATACTATAGATATCTATTTTTGCTATGGTAAAAGAGTTATTGATCAAAATATAGAGGAATGAAACTATAAAGAATTGCTTGTTTATCATTCACTCTCAGAAATAAGGGTGTGCAAGCTGTCACTGGGGCGGTACCTTTTAAAAGGTAGACATTTGTACCTAAAGGGTTCAAATTTGTACCTCAAACGTATATATTAGTTTCTAACACTTTTGTAGTTTTTAGGTACCAATATGTACCCTGAAGGTATTAATATGGACCTTTTAGGTACACAATTTTACCTTTTGAAAATGTACCATCCCAGAGACAAATCGCGTTTCTTTATTTCTGAGAGTGTATATTCTTATATATATATATTGAAAGATTAAATGTTTAAATAAATAGTGCACACTATAGAACAGATCATTGTAAAAGACTGATTTAACATGTGCTTGAATTTCGCTTAAACCAACTTCAATATTTTTATGCAGTTAAAAATATACTTAATGTTGAAAATATTACACATGTTGTCCTGTGAAAAAGGGCGCTACAAAAAGGTACAGAAAGTAAAGCATTATCTACAGTCCACCTAAAGCAGGGGGATCAATAGAAAAAATCTTCATTAGGGTTAAGTGAACATTGACAATTGTGGTAAATCAGTTCTGTGCTTTTTTTTGTTTTGTTTTGACCTCCAGCAAATATCAAAAGCTTTTACCCTCAAGTTTCACAAATTATAAACAACTTACTGTCATTGTCAGACTAAACTAGAAGGAATTAAACTTTAGATATGTATTATATCTAGGGAAATGTCTCAAATCAATAAATAGGGCAAGCTCTCTGATTGCACTTGAACAACACGTTTGTTTAACTAAAATGGCTGGAAATGAACAAGCTCCACTCATTATCAAAGTTCTGCTTGGAGAGTTTTAAAATTGTCGGTTTTGTGAAGAAAACAACCAGACGTCTTCATTTGGAAGTTAGGGCACAAATTTATCTCTCATAACCTTTAAAATCACTACAGTTTTCTTCAGTACAAATAAAATCCAAAACACATGCATTTATCAACCATTCATATACACACTGTAGTACCTCTTCCAACGACTGTCTTCGGCCAACTCAATTATATTATACGAAACTCTTTTTGGAGAAAACAAGTTCTGTAACTAAATGATAGATTTTTGTCAGATTAATTTTAAATTTCAATATAATTAACCAAAAATCAAAAAATAGAATAGATCCAGCGTCGTCAAACATCAATCAGTTCCCTCTACATACAGATTCACTGTCTTGAGATGGAACCATTGGTAGATAACTTCCATTCCAGAGCTATCGCCTATCGCTAAACTTGAAAGGGTGTCACGTGTCTAAGCAGCACACCTTTACAAACAAATGCTCTGAGACAGTGAGAATATCAGGCCAATAATACAAAATAAGGGGTAACGTTAACATTCAGTTTTCAATTCTTTCATTCACTTTTTCATACTCGAAACCCCAATAGTAATAACTGAGTAACCTAGTTGTCTACTTAAAATGTGCACCAATCTCAGAAAGGGAGAGACGAAGAATGAACACCCATGTAGTGTACTTAAAGTATGTACAGATTGAATATCATAAGAAATAACGTGTTATCTTGATCTCTCCCTATTTTGACCATTTTCAGTACACTTTAAAGCCATACCACAATTCTATACTCATAGTTATTTATAGCAAGACAAGAAAGAGAGACGGGAAGGAGGGTGGAGTACTCAAGTTTACATGATGTCAACACATAGGGGGAACAGAGCAATATAACAAACGACGGTCACTCAATAGCCACGGTGGGCCCAAACACGTGCAGGGGAGGAGATTTAGCAAACTTGTTCGACCAGATGGAACAATATAACCAGTTCTTGTCCAATCATGATGAGGAATGCATGGAGGCAGACTCTCTGTCTTCTCTCTCTTCGTCGTCCATCTTGCGGCCGTGCTTTCTGAAATATTTGTACCTCTGGACGTAAAGCTTGACCAGGTTACTCACTTTCACTGGATTGATTTCGCCTGTTCGGCTGTGACAAATCTGTGTGGAAAAAAACAGACTCTGCTATACACTTTCTGCATGTTATGTTGAACAGTGGAAAACAGGGCTGTCTTGAAATGACATTTACCTTGTGCACAGCTTTCCTTAAAATATCCTTGTAGTCATCTTTGTTGATGTCCTTGCGCTGGTAATATGGCTTGATTGCCAATTTGACTTCCTCTACTGCCCTCTCCTGGGTGTGCAGCTTTTTCAGATACTATGAAAAAGAAAAATTTAATGAAATTGGGGCTATTGTTGACCAAACACCCATTTGGAAACATTGAGATTTTTGGATTAATGGCACAGTGTAAACATAATAGAGAGAAAGCACAGTTTAAAGCATTCAGGTGCAAGAAACAGAAACTTTTGCAGCTTTATCAGATTTTATGGGCTTGTTCACACCAGGCATGATAGCGATAAATATGTTTGTGTCGACACAGACAAACCATAATGTTAATTTTTAGATAATGCTTTTAATTCTGTATGATTCCTTATAACCAGCAGGTGTCCTTAGTGTGCTACCATTTCATCTGAACATAATAGAGATTATTGTTTAATCAATCTATTCAAATTTATAATCAAATCTAATTTAACGATCATAGTCAGTTCCCCAGCATTTTCAAAGACGACAAAGACACACAAACTAGCACTGAATTCCTGTGGTATTTTAATTTATTAATTACTTTCAATTTATTGGTCTTGGAAATATGATTTAAGGGTCTTGCATATTTGTCTTCTTAACGCATATATAAACTATATTTCAAAAGGGGTCGTACACATATGCACCGCACTATGCATTTTTATAAATCTAAACATTTCTATCAGGGTACACACACTGGCGGTGCAAGTCGGCCGCTGTCCGCAATACCCAGCTATGACTCAGGACACGGATCATATTTCTGTTGTGCCACAGAGCGGGTTCTTAATAGTTTAATAGTAGTTCTTAATAGTAATTTTTGGCCTTGTGCACCATGTGCTCCCAGTTGAAAAAGTAAACTCTGAGACAAAAATCGCATTATGTCAGTCGCATCTTTTTCATTCTCCAATCAAATAAAAGCAGAGGCGGGTTTCTGTTGAGGTGCCTGCAGTGTTTGTGTTGTCAAGACAACAACGAAGACTTTTGAAAATGGAGAGGTGTGTGGTTGCTGTTTTGACTGAATGAATGAATACTAGAAACTCACACAGCTTAAAATTTTGAAGGGAATGTGGAGACAATATAAAAAAATTATATTTTTTATTACTCATTTATGAAAAAAAAAATGTTTTTTTTAATGTAGACTTTTTCTGAATTAAAACTTGTATTTCTCATCGACATTGCGGCTCTGACATCCTTAATAAACTACACTACATTTAATATAAAAAAATTATCCAGGTCTAAACGATATAGTTTGGAAAGGGTTTTAAAACCATAGAGCAGTCTCTGGCAGAGAAGTGAATAACTCATCACATTCCTACGAGGATATTTTATTCATTAAAATTATAATTTCATTGACTTGAATACAATTAACCATGTATAATCTTACTCGTCATCTAAAATCTTACAAATAATAAAATAACTTATTGTTTTATTCGTGGCTAGAGCTTGATTAATTCGATTGATATCCTAGGCAGTAGCCTAAGACCTTTACTTCGCCTGACTGAATGTTAGTTCATTGCACACAGCACTGTATTTCACAGCACAAAACTCGCTCTGATCCAAGAGAGAACTTTATCAACCACTACATACACTGCTGAAAGACTTTTTTTCCTGCTGCGCATCGAATAAAGCAAATAAAGACACGCTTAACATCATCGATGTCCAAATTCCACAACATCATTATATCCATAGAACACGAACTTGCAG